CCTGCCACAGCACGGTCACAGGCACTCTCACCAGCCCCACGTGCACAGCCAGCATCTCCGGATCTGCTGGGAACACACAGTCTGCCACTGACTGACCCCCAACAGCTGGCTCTGGGGCCTGTTGGTGGCTCCAACACTCCAGCCACCCATCGGTCAGGCCAGGGTACAGCTCTGCAGCCCCACCCTGGGACCAGGCAGCCCAGTGCCCTCTGGCAGAGAAGGCAAGGGAGAGGTGGCCACTAAGGAGGAAGAGAAACAGGGCTCCTCCAACAGGCGTTCTCAGAGATGGTCCTGTACAACCGATTCCCACCACCTCCAGCTGGCGTAAAACAGCCCCCTCCAGAAAGTGAGGGCTCTGAGGTAGAGAGAGCCAGGACTCCCTCCTCCCCACTGGGGACTAGGCAAGGAGAGGAGTTGCCCTGGAGGCAGAGGCCGGGCAGGCCAATCTGGGGGGGGGGGCGGAACTGCAGCCCCCTCCTGCTCTGTCATTTTCACTTCCAGGCAGGTGGGGGTGCCGGGAACCCTCTCCTCATCAGCGCTGCCCTCCACCAAGCTTAGGGATTCCCATTCTCAGAGCACGTCCTCTACCCACCGCCCCCCACACAACTGGCCTTTGCAATCACAACCCCTCCCCCATTTCATTTTTTCCCACATCAACAGTCTCCGACAGCCCAGCGGAGGAAGAAGGGGAGAAGGAACGGAGGGATGGAGGTTCGGAGGGATGGAGGGATGGAGGGATGGAGGGATGGAGGGGGATCCGAGTAGCAGGTTCGGCCAAAAGAGACCAGGGATCACCACCCGTCCAGACAGCACCTGTCCCCTCCCAGCAGGCCCGGCACATCTGGACCCAGCTGGTCCCCGCGGCCACCCGGTTCATTCGCCACGGGTTCCAAACACGAACCCCTGTCTCCGCGGGGCACCGCACGTGGGGGCCTCCGGTAGCCATGTGAGTGCCCCCCCCAGCCCAGGTGCCCGGGTCAGCCCAGCCCCTCCCAGGCACGCAAACAGGGAGGGGGCGCTATGCAGCGGGAGGGGGGTGCTGCCCCCGCCCCCTCCCCGGATGTCAGGTCCGGGAAAGAGCTCGGGAAGGAGGAGCCGGCGGCTCCCGGCGCTACCGAGGCGGGATCCAAGGCAGCTGGGTTGAATGGAGGAATGCCCCGGCCGGCATAGCCCTGCTCTCCCAAGCGCCAAGGCTGGCGGGGCACGGGAAGGGTCCGCCTGACCCCCAGGCCGCCTTGCAGATTGGGGGGCGGGCCTGAGGAGGGGGCTTCCCAGCTTTGGCAGCCGCTTGATACAGGGTGCCAGAGAGTCCGCGGGAAAAAGAGCCAGAATGGGGGTCCGGCCCTGGACAGAGGTTCCGGGCCCGGTTACCACCGCCCCCGATTTGAGGGTCCGAGGAGACGTGGATGGGGCGATCCCACCCAGATAAGGCGCTTCCCAGCCTCGCAGCCGGCCCCTCGGACCCGGGCTAGGAGGACAGAACTGGCAGGGGAGGGGGCTTTTCTGCGCCAGCACCGCCCCCCGGTTCTGGGAGGTCTGTCAGGGAGGAGACCGAATCGGGGGTCTAGCCGAGGGACGGGGCGCGCCGGCCCGGGAAAGGGGTAGGAGCTGCCGCGCGCCACCCCCGCGCCCTCACCTGCGCCCGGCGCCTCGGCCGCCTACGGCCCGCTCCGCCGCTCCGCTGCCGCCGCTCGGGTCCGCTCGCAGGTCCGCACGCCTAGGCCCCGGCCCCGGTCCGCGGGCGCCCCATGTCTCTCCTCCGGCCGGCGCGGCGCCCCAGATGCGGCTGCGGGAGGAGGAGCCGCGCGGCCCCGGCTCCCCGAGAGCGGCGGGGAGGGGGCGGAGGGCGGGGAGAGGCGCGCGGGGGAGGGGGCCGTGCGGCTGCGCCCAAAACCAGGCGCGGATCGGGCCACGGGCGCAAGGCTGGGGAGGGCCTAGGGGGGGCCCGCGCCGTTCCTAGCTCCCCCTCCCCCACCGGCGCCCCCGCAACGCTGGGGGAGGGGGAGGGTCTCCGCAGCGGGCGACGCTCTGTCGCGAGCCGGAAGAGCGCTTGGAAATCCGGGGCCGGTGGTCCAGAGAAGGCAGGTTACTGGAACAAGGTCACACAGCGTGGGCCACGGTGGCACGGGACCCTGGAACCCCAGGCTATAGGGCTGGCCGGCAGGAACCCGTGTAGACCATCGCCGCCCCGTGGAGGAGGGAAACTGAGGCCCAGAGAGACCAAGACTGGCCCCGGTCACACTGAGCGAGTCAGGAACCACCCCACCCCCGAGAACTTGGGGCTCCTGCCTCTGGGAATGGGTGTCCCCTCCTGGTGACCTGCTTCAGCAGAACCCACTCCCGGGGCCTTCTCTCCACTGGCTGAACTGGGGTTAAAAGCAGCCTCTGGAATGGGATGGACCTGAACTGCGTACTGGCCCTACCTCTCCTGGTGCTGTGGTTACAGACAGAAGACTGCTCCTCTCTTGGCCCCATTCCTCCACCTGTAAAATGGGGACACCACAACTCTCTATCCCCAACTTGGGTGAGAAACCAAAGAGATAATGGGTATGAGCTCTTTGCCGGTGCCTGGCATTCAGTAGGTGTCAAATGAATGTGCTTGCCTTCCCTGGCTCCCACACACAGCCATCTCCAGAGAATGCCTACTAAATGCAGAAGGGTCAGAATGGTGTGAAAGGGTGGCCTGCAAGGCTCCTCACAGCCCTGTTCCAGTCTCCTCCACTGCCTTCCCACCCTGCTCACATCCCCAACCCAGTGATGACTGCTGTTCCAGTGCCCACCCTCTGCCTTTCCCTGTGCCTGCCATGCCCTCCTACCTCTCTACCTGACAAACTCCTACTCATCCATCAAGGCCCAGAGCAATCTGTTTCATACCCCAGCTTCTCACACTCCCTACTAGTCTACCCATGTTTCCTTTCTCCGGAACATATTCCCCTCCCCCAAGCATCTGGTCTGGGTTTGTCTCTATCTTCTCTGGTTCTAACAACTGGGGTGAGAGGCAATCACTCAAAGGAGATGACACCCTGAGGCCCAGTGCTGCCCAAGAGGGCTTCCTGGAAGAGGTGGGGCTTCCGTAAAGCCAGGATAGAGAGGTAAGTTTAACACTCGTATGCAGCAGGCAAAGAGGTGACATGTTTAGGCAGGATGTCAGCAGGGAGGAGAGTGGGCTCTCTGGAGCAGTGGGAAGATGTTGGCAAATGAGCTGTGAGCCAGGGGCTGGGCAGCAACCTGGCAGTATATATATGATCAGGTTGAAGATGAGCAGGCTTTGCCCTCGAGAACACCTCACATGGGGGCCCGGGAGGCTTGCACAAGGATGCTCATAGCAGCATAATTTGTAAGAGTGAAAAGCTGGACACAGCCTAAATGTCCATCATCTGGAAACTGGACAAATAGCAACACATTCAGACAATGGAAAACTGTCTCTGCTCCACAATCCTCAAAATAGGTGAATGCAGGCTTATGCATCGTGAGGATGAATCTCAAAAACACTGTTGATGCAGTTTGGGAAAACACAGGGTTGTACACTTATGATTTGTGTGTTCTTTGGATGAATGTTATACTTCAATACAATCTTTAAAATAAAAATATATATTGTTGGATGGAAAAAGCAAGTTGCAGATGGAAAACATAATTTTATGCCAGATATATAAAGTTTGAAAACACGCAACACAATACCATATATTGTTTAGCGACACATACACATGAAATATAAGTGTAAAAACATGCATGGGAGTGATAGACAGCAAATTCAAGAGAGTAGTGACCGTGAGGGAGAGAGGGAAGGGAATGTTGTGATAAGGGCTTTAAATATACTTGTGATGGTTTATTTCTTAAGCCAGGTGGTGGCATGTGGGTGTTTGTCATGCTTTTCTCTAGACTTTTTTGTGGACATAAAGTATTCCTATTGTAATACTTTTTTTGTTTTTTAGAAAGTCAGGAGGTGCCTGGGAAGACAATGGGGAGCCATTGCTGGTTCTTGAGCAGGAGTGTGACATGGCAGTGGACAGGAAGAGGGAAGACTAGAGAAAGGAAGGGAAGGGAGGCTAGTGTGATGGTACAGAGGAGAGATGCAAGGGCCTGAGTGGAAACAGGGACAGGGTATGGGGAGGAGGATAGGAAGGGCAAGATTTAGAAGCATATACATTGGGCATGCTTATGCAAGAGTCACAAACCGAAGTGCCCACAGGGCCCAGACCGGTTGTTTAAACAAGTCATGAGCCTAGAGTTGTGGGGACTGGGACCCATGGTCCCACAGGGGCAGCCCCTACTAAGCACCAGCTGATTTTGCCGTCTAGGGAAGGAGACAGTGGAGCTGTATCTTATCTTTTCAAGAGAAACAAGCAGTTAAGACTTTCTGAAATATAAGACTTCATAAAATTCCTTAAAATTGTGGCAACTAAAGTGAAAAATATTTTTAACTCTGTACAGACCAAGCCATATAGGTTTGCAGTCTCTCCAGTGAGGAAGAGTCTGCAGGAGATGAAATGAACAGACAATGGCACCGAGTTTTCCTGCCTGTGAGGCTGAGGAGGCTCACGACCTGAGCAGCAGTCAGAGAGGGCTTCCTGGAAGAACTGACACAGGGCAGCGAAGGGGGAAGGCGTTTCTGATGGAAAGAACAGCATATGCAAAGGCAGAGTTGAGTTGAGTGAGCCTAAGAGAAAAGAGCAAAAACAGGAATAGGCGTTTCACAGAAGGGGAAACATATGGCCAGTAAACAGACGAGGAGGTGCCTGACCTGTTAGTCATGGGGAAATGTAAGTCAAGACCATGATGAGATGCCACTGTACGCCCAGTCGACTGGCAACAATGAGAACACGGGACAATACCAAGAGCTGGGGAAGCTGTAGCTCAGTGGCAGCTCCAAAGCCACTGCAGGGAGAGTGATTTGGGCCACCCACTGTGACCCAGCACTTGCACTGCTGATGTGCATGTCCAGGAGAAACCCATACACAGGTACACTTGGCCAGTGCTTCTCACACATGAATGTGCCGGTGAATCCCCCAGGGGACTTGTTAAAATGCAGATTCTGCACCGGACATGGTGGGTCACGCCTGTAATCCCAGCACTTTGGGAGGCCGAGACAGGCGGATCGCGAGGTCAAGAGATTGAGACCATCCTGGCCAACATGGTGAAACCCCGTCTCTACTAAAAATACAAAAATTAGCTGGGCATGGTCGCACGTGCCTGTGGTCCCAGCTACTCGGGAGGCTGAGGCAGGAGAATTGCTTGAACCTGGGAGACAGAGGTTGCGGTGAGCCGAGATCGCGCCATTACACTCCAGCCTGGTGCCTGGCGATAGTCCAAGACTCTGTCTAAAAAAAAAAAAAAAAAAAAAAATTATGTTTTGGTGGGGCTAGGGCAGGGCCCCAGATTCTGCATTTCTAACAAGTTTCCAGGTGATACCCAGGCTGAGGATGCCCAGACTACATTTTGCAGAGCTTTAGGATGTATGCGTAGGAATAGCCACACAGCGTTGTTTGCAACGGCAGAAGACCAGGAGGCAACCTGATTGTCAACTGACAAGAGAATAAATAAATAAGGAAATAAATAATGGTATAGTCACATACAGCCTTCAAAACAAACAAATCATGATTACATACAACAACATGGACACAGTCTCATCGACAGCATTGAGTTAAAAAGAAAACACAAGACTTTAACATAAAATTAATAAACAAGTAAAAACAAACTACATGTTAATTAGGTATGCCTACCTGTAATAACACTAAAAACAAGGAAACTAGGGGAGGATAAACTCAAAATTCAGAATCTTAGTGACCTCCAGCAGAGACCTGGGGGACGGGAAGCGTGTGCAGCACAGAGGTGATGTCAGATATGATTCTGTTCTAGTTCCTGGGATGAGTAGTGGTTCAAGGTGCATATATTGTATTATGTTTTATACTATCTTATATTGTAAACATTATAGGACTTGATGTGCCAATGCTGAGGGCATGTCATGAACCAAGGACTCAGTTCCACTCACTTCTGTGTATCTGATATTTTTAAAAAGAAAGAGAGAAACTCATAGAGACAAAGACACAAAGAGAGATGGAGAGGGCCACGAAGATGGAGAGAGAGAGGAATATAAGCCAGGTCTATAATTTGATAATGATTAAATCCGGATAATGACCATATCCAGCTAGTGATGACATTGAGCTTGTACCAAACCAGATAAGGCCCGATTGGTCAAGATGGATGTGGGGAATGCCCACTCCAATGCTGTTCTCTGGGCTCATCAAGCACATGTCAGGCAGGGCCAGCCTCTCAAGGAAATGGGAAGGGAGGACCCTTATAGTCTGTCTTGGGTCCAGGACCCATGCAGGGAGTCACCTCCCAGGGCTCTGGCTCCAGTCTGCCCCTTCCCCATCTATCCACACCAGCCCCAGAGACATCTTTCTATAACATGGATCTGACTGTGCCCCTCCCCTGCTCAGAAGCTTGCCTTGGCTCCCTAGTACCTGGGGATAAAGTTTGACCTCCTGAGCCTGGTATTGAAAGCCCATTGTCAGTTGGCTTTCGCATCTGCTCCTAACTTGATCTTGGCCAAACCCCATGACTCAGGTACAAGCTCTGCAGTTTCTCCTGAAAACAAGCTGTTTCACACCTTGGCCTTTACCTGAAATGCCTCCTCTCCCATTGAGTAGTAACCTTTCAAAATTCAACTCATATGTCACCTACTCTGGGGAAATCATCCCTGACTTCTATGTCTCATTCCTGGTTTTACACCCCAAAAATACTTTATGATGACAAAGCCACACCATGTCTCAAAGCAAATGCTGTTGGCGCCCGCCTTGCATTCTGCCACAGCCTTGGTCGACAGCTCCTGAACCCTGGTCTTCTGCAAGCACCCACCAGGTCTCTCCACTTTTCTGTCTGATGGCGTTTTCTGAAGTTGCGGGAGCTTGTCCCAACCAAGCACAGGATAGCTTGGAAATGCAGGATAGTAAGGCCCCCAGCAGAACCTTCAGTCCCTTGGAGAAGAGAGTCACGGAGGATATGCCTAAGCCTCCAAACCTTCAGGGAGACAGTATCAGGTATGCTTTCCACTGTTCTTCAGAAGGTCCCCAGCAGGATGGAGCTCCAGCGGCCCACAGCGGTGCCCTGCTTGCAAATACAAATCTGACTGACCTTCCCTCCTTCTCTGTCTCCCTCCTGCAGACCAGGATCACCTCCCAAATAAACTAGCTGCACTCTAATACCTGTCTCAGGGTCCACTTAGGGGGAACCCACACTTAGGTATACCCATTACTTCCACCTCTCCCACAAGACTGAAAGTAGCTCCTCGGGGTTCAGGCCACGTTAAATTCATCTCAAATTGTGGTATTTGAGACCTGGCATAGTTATGCCTGTAATCCCAGTACATTGGGAGGCTGAGGCAGGAGGATTGCTTGAGGCCAGGAGTTCAAGACCAGCCTGGGCAACATGGCGAGACTCCATCCCTACAAAATTAAAAAATTAGCTGGGTGTGGTGGTGCATGCCTGTAGTCCCAGCTGCTTGGGAGGCTGAGGTGGGAGGATCACTTGCGCCTAGGAGGTCAAAGCTGCAGTGAGCCGTGTTTGCACCACTGCACTCTAGCCTGAGTAACAGAGTGAGACGCTGCCTCAAAAAAAAAAAAATTTTTTTTTAAGGCAGCATTTGACAGTCTAGGTTCATACTGTGTCCTGCTTGCCTCTGTATGAACTTGACCAGGCTCAGCCAAAACAAGCAGAAGATTCTCAAACATTTAATGACACTTAATGACATGTACCCCAGGGGAGGGGAACTATGCAGAATTACCTCCTTTCTTTTCCTTTCACATATTTTCCAAATTTTCTGCACTGTCCAAATTTGTTCCAAAATAAATTTTGAAGTGTCATGTTCCTTTGTTCTGTTTCGCTTTGTTTTCCCAGTGCGGAGGGAGTGTGGGTTCTGGAGTGAGCAGACTCGTATTTTGGCTCTGCCACACACTGGCTCTGACTGGGCAAGCTACCCAACCTCACTGGGTCTCAGTTTCCACATTCAAAAAATGGACACAGCCCAAAATAATACAAACACTTACTTTGCAGGGTAGCCGTGACTCTTATAATGGAAGCACTTTGTGAACTACAAAGTGAACTGCAAGGCTGAGTTATTGTCTTCCCTGGGGCTGGCATCAGGCCTGGCATGGACGAGGTGCCTGAAAAATGTTTGGAGAACAAAATGATTGAGGCTAGGAGTAGCAATTCCACACTGTTCCTTATCTCATTCATTTATTCATTCACTCACTCACTTGATATCCACTGATACCCACCCAGGTCCAACCCCAACTGGGTTACCAGGGATGTAGAATTCCATGAGGAATGTCATGGGCCTCAAGGGGCTTGCTGTCCATAGAGGAGACAGAAGAAAACCCACCACTCCTAAGCGTACTGACTGACCCTTGGGAGAGGGTGGGAAAAGTTCCAGGAAGAGATGACCCCTGAGCTGTGCAGGACTTAGCCTGAAGAGCAAGGGGAAGACAGAGGGGACATTGTAGCACAAGGACGTGCTCAGAGACCTGGAAGCCAGGCTGGGGCACCTTTGGCAGCTCGCTGAGACTGAAGCCTCAAGAGCTCAAAGGTGAAGCCAGAAAGGTCGGCAGGGGCTCATCATCATGAGTGTGAGGTCCTCCCAAGGAGTCGGGACTTCCCATTGAAGGTGATAGTGCTCTATAGAAAATGAGGGCAAGACTGGGAAAGAACTGTTGACTGTTTTTTTTTGGAGATGGGGTCTGGCTCCAGGCTGGAGTGCAATGGCATGATCATGGCGCAAAGCAGCTTCAAACTCCTGGGCTCAAGTGATCCTCCCACCTCAGCCTCCCCAGTAGCTGGGATTATAGGTGCATGCTACTGTGCCCTGCTTGAATCTTTGACTTTGTGGACTTGGGTGATTCATTTGGCCTCTCAGAGCCTCAGTTTTCTCATCTGTACAATGGGGGCAAAAATCCCACAACAAGGACATTCTGAGGAAAACGTGAAATGAGGTGTGCTCATTGGCTGGAAGAGAGAAGGAAGGTGTTCAGTTCAGTAGACATGAGTTGAATGAATGAGTGAATTAATTAATTAATTTCTGCCCAACTCAGGACCACCCTGAGACTTTTGCATATACTCTTCTAAGTCCGGAACTCACCAGCCCCAATCCACCTTCTCCCTGCCCACCTCCCCTGCAATAGTACCTCCCACCCACCCCCAGGCCACTAGGCTGGAAGGCTAGGACTTTTTCAAGGCCACCAAGTGAGGCAAATGCAAAGCAGGGTCCATTGCTCTATTCCTACCCTGTGGTGGTAGGAGCATTTTTCCTCTGCCCCTCAGTATAGATTTGCCGTAGGCCCTGCCTGGTGCTGTCTGAGATGAGAAGGCACCTTGGTCCCACTGTCTCCTTGAAAGGCCAGCACAGCCTGCCTCTGCCTCCCAGATGCCCGAGCCACCATCCACTCCCACCCGAGTCCTTAGCTCTTTTCTTAAAATAATTCCTCCTGTTTCCTTGGAGACATCTCTCACATGGAAGAAAGGAAAGGCAGAAAGGAGGAAGGGAAGGAGGAATATGGGCTGGGTGCCATTTCCTGAGCACCTACTGTGACCCCTGTGAGCCGGAGTTCCGGGGCCTCTGCAGATGAGGAGCTGAGGCTTGCATACCTGAGATCATTTGTGCCAGGCCTTGGAGCAGGCCAGGATTCAAACCCAGGTCTGTAAGACCTGAAAGCCAAAGTTTGTTGGTCGGATGGAAAGGTATGTTGGGGACTATAAGGGAGAGTCCTGTCCCTATCCCAAGTCCAAATGTCCTGACCAGGGAACTGCTTGTTTCCCAACATACTCTCCTTCATTTCTGGGCACCTGTTGTATGTCAGACCCTGGGCCAGGCATGAGGTAGGAGGAGTGTCTCAGGAACAAGACAAGGTCTTCTCCCTTCAAATGCTCAGAGTGTGGGGCAAGTGGGAGGGGTGGGAAAATAGAAAGTGATCCGTGGCCCATGTATTTCCTGTGCATAGCACCAAAGGCTTCAGAGAGACTGTTTCAACTGATTCTCCCAATACCTCGGCTGGGAGGATTTAAAAGCCCCATTTTTCAGAGAGGAAACTGAGGCCCGAGGAAGTAAATGCATTTTTCTAAGACAGTAAGTGGTGAAGCCAGGATAAAGTCCCAGGTTATGCTGAAGTGGGCAGAAGACAACTTGCTGGAATTCCCCCAGAGACCCATACAAAGTGGGATGAGGGAGGTGGCTGTGGCTGGGAACCCAAGGACCCTTGGGTAGAGAGGGAGAAATACAGGGATGTGGACAGATGGGTCTTAGCTCCTCTCTGGCCTCAACTCCCTCAAGTCAGCTCCGGGCCTGACCTCACCAGGGTATCTGACACCTTCACCCAAGTAGAGGGACAACCAAACCCCCCCGCCCGCTTCAGCATCTAGGGATCCCACTCAAAGCATCTCATAAACAGGCCTCACCAGTGAACATCTGGTCAACCATCAACCCATGCATCCTCTGGTGACCCCACTCAAGCAACCCTTCTTTCTTTTTTTTTTTTTTTGAGATGGAGTCTTGCTCTCTGTCACCAGGCTGGAGTGCGGTGGCGTGATCTTGGCTCAGTGCAATCTCCGCCTCCCAAATTCAAGCAATTCTTCTGCCTCAGCCTCTCAAGTAGCTGGACTATGGGTGCCCGCCACCATGCCCAGCTAATTTTTGTGTTTTTAGTAGAGACGGGGTTTTGCCATGTTGCCCTGGATGGTCTCAATCTCCTGACCTCGTGATCCACCCGCCTCTGCCTCCCAAAGTGCTGGGATTACAGGCCATGAGCCACTGCACCCGGCCAATAAGCAGCCCATCTCGTTGAGCCCACTAACCCAAATCTTGGGTTTAGAGGCAATTCTCACATCTGATGGTTAAGTCTAGGAGAGGAGAGGCTTTTTCCAAATAGAAAGGAGGCAGGGGCACCAGGAAGGAGGCCACTGAAACTTTCCAAGGGAGAGCTGATGGGGCCTGGACTGGGCTGGCATGTAGGAAGCAGGAGGAGAGGACAGTGGAAAGAGATACCGAGTAGGCAGAACCAATGTTGTTGGTGGTAGATCCCAAAGTGGAATGAGGGGAGAAGAGGCAAAAAGAGTCTCCAATACCTGTATGGGGGGCTAGTAGCATTTCCCTGGAGACAGGAGGTCTGGGCAAAGGGCAGGGGAGGCAGGAGGAGGAAGGCCCACTTGGGGACTTGTGTGCAGTGTCTATGGGACACAGAGTGCTGTTCCTCCTGTAGGCACCCTGTTTTAGGTTTGCAAAGAGCTGTCAATCCAGTCTCCCTGGAACCTCCCAACAAACCTGTGGCGGTTGAATGAAAAGACGTCCTTTTTCTCAGAGGGAGACTTCAAAGCTCAGAGAGTGGTGATGATTGACCCACAGGTTCACTGAGTGGGTGTGGGTCAGGTATTTTGTTTTAAGACGAAGGCTTTTCTCTTGCACACAAGGAGCCTGCCAGGCACCCAGAGGCTTGCAAAGAGATGTCCAGAAAAACGGGCACTGAGGGGAGAGGCTGGGCCTGGAGAAGGAATGACTGAAGGCATGGAGTAAGCAAGGTCATTTAATTAGAGAGCCTTGAGAGACACGAGAAAGTCATCGGGGCAGAGCCTCAGGAAGTAGCCGCTACTTCATGGGTTGAGCAAAAGAGGCTAAAAGAATGTGAGCAGGTAAGGAGAAGGAAAACAGGGAACGGCATGTGCAGAAGTCAGGGCAGACTGTGCTTCCCCAAGGAGAAAGTGGCCCCCGGTGGTATGAGGTGCAGGCTGCTTCTGCACCACCCACACCTGAGCCCTGGGTGTGCTTCCCCAAGGAGAAAGTGGCCCACGGTGGTATGAGGTGCAGGCTGCTTCTGCACCACCCACACCTGAGCCCTGGGGGAGGCTCCAAGGAGACAGTGCGGATCGTAACTGGCCACAGGAAATTGTTCTGGTCTTGGCTCTGCCACCATCTCTCCGGGTGACCTTAGACAAATCCCTTTCCCTCTCTACACTCCTGTTTTTCCCTCTGTCCAATAAAAGGACTTCAGTTTCTGGACATTTTTTTAAAAGAATATTTACTGGGCCAGGGGCAGTGGCTCATGCCTGTAATCTCAGCACTTTGGGAGGCTGAGGTGGGCGGATCACCTGAGATCAGGAGTTCGAGATCAGCCTGGCCAGCATGGTGAGACCCCATCTCTACTAAAAATACAAAAAATGAGCCAGGCATGGTGGCGGGCACCCATAGTCCCAGCTACTTGGGAGGCTGAGGCATTGCTTGAACCCAGGAGAATTGCTTGAACCCAAGAGGTAGAAGTTGCAGTGTGCCAAGATCATACCACAGCACTCCAGCCTGGGCAACAGAGCAAGACTCTGTCTCAAAAAAACAGAATATTTACTGAGAAATATTTACTGGGAGCCTGCTATGTGCCAAACCCTGTTCTAGGAATTTGGAGTAAACAAAATATAAAGAACCTGGCTTCATGGAGCTTACATCTAGCAAAAGGAACTGGTCAAAAAATAAAAAACATAATAAATTAATAAATGACATAAATGACACAGATGGTTATAAGTTTTATGAAAAAAAGGAAAGAGACATGCATGGTGGCTCACATCTGTAATCCTAGCAGTTTTGGAGGCCAAGGTGAGAGCATCGCTTGAGCCTAGGAGTTTGAGACCAGCCTGGGCAACACAGCCACATCTCATCTCTACTAAAAAAATTAAAAATTAGCCAAGCATGGTGGTATGTGCCTGCAGTCCCAGCTACTCAGGAAGCTGAGGCAGAAGGATGGTTTGAGTGCAGGAGATGGAGGCTGTAGTGAGTTGTGACTGTACCACTGCACTCCAGCCTGGGCAACAGAGGAAGACCCTGCCTCAAAAAAGCAAACAAAAACAGAAACAAACAAACAAACAAAAAGGGGGAAAGCAGAGAAGGTCAGGGGAAAGGGGGGTGCTAGAGGTGGTGAAGATTATTAAATAAGGAAGTCAGGTGGGACTCACTGAGAAGGTAAGGGTTGAGGAACAGAGTGAGGGAGGCAGCCTTGCAGATAGCTCCGTGAAAAGCAGTCCAGCTGGAGGGAACAGCCAATACAAAAACCCTAGGGTGAGAAATACTACGATCTCATCACTGTTAAATGCTATCAGTTTTAAAAGTTATATGGAAATGAATAGGTCTTAAAGA